TTTTTCACAATTTAATTTACTATCTTTCATATGCTACTTATATATGACTATTCGAATTTTTAAAAGGTTTAAATCATGCATGTGGCATTTACATATGTTAATTAGAGTTTTTAGCATTTAATTTAATATAATTCCTACGCTAAGTACATATGATGATTACAATTTTTATTAATTTTAAATCATGCAGTATGTACATACATATCTTAATTAGAGTTTTTACCAATATAATAATATCATTCGTATATATGCTAAGTATATATGATTATTGGAATTTTTATTAATTATATTTGCTTATTACGATTTATCCACTTAATTTATTACAGACAAAAATAATTTTTCGAAGTAATTGTCATTAATCTTTGTACTTTAAATAATGTTAATGCATTAACTTCTATTTTATAAACACATATGTAAGCGAAAATCATATGCAGTGCTATAATCTTTAGTCCCGTTCTTAACCCTAACCGGGTTTAAAAAGAATTTCGAAATAGCAGGAAAAGATATTTACTCCCGGTTGTTGAGAACAACCGGGACTAAAGATATCTTTAGTCCCGGTTGTTGAGAACAACCAACCGGGACTAAAGATATCTTTAGTCCCGGTTGTTCTCAACAACCGGGAGTAAAGATCCGGGGGTATATATATTCCCGGTGCGCCCTCGTCTTCTTCACCAACACTTAGACATTTTCGGCCGATCGATCTCTCTCGGCCTCTCTCCTTCGCCGCCACTGCCTAGGGCAAATCCCCGCGCCGACGCCGCCGTATCTCGCCGTCGTCTCGAGCTCATCGTCCTCGCCGCCGCCTCCGCCTCCTCCGCTGCCGCCGCATCTCTGGGGTGAGAGCCGCCGCCGCCAGATCTCCCTTCATGCATCTCGATCTCTCCGATCTCGATCTCTCTCCGTCGCGCCTCCCGCCACGAGACGCCGCGCCACGACGACAACGCGCCACGCCGCCGCCTTCGCCGCCGCGCAACGCCGCCGCCGCATGCCAACGCCACGCCGCCGCCGCCGTCGCCACGCCGCCGCCGCCTTCGCCGCCGCGTGCGCAATGCCGCCGCCGCCACGCCACGCCGCCGCCGCCACGGCCCCGTAACGCCACGCCGCCGCCGCCGTCGCCACGCCGCCGCCGCCGCCGCCACGCCGCCGCCGCCGTCGCCACGCCGCCGCCGCCGCCGCCACGCCGCCGCGCCAACCGCCGCCCCAATGCCGCCACACCGCCGTTAATTAAGAAAATCTTGTTATGTTAATTGCTACTACGAATCATGGCTTTAAACTCCATGTAGGGCTTGGTATCGGTTCCGTCATTTGGTCCGCGGCAAATGGAGAGAAAGACTTAGGCGGAAGTTCAAATTTCCTGTGAGTACACATGCTCTACATTTATATTTCTCCGATTCAAATACATACAAGTATATGTTAATTAGATCTCTCGTTTGTCATTTATTTGTAGTGCGCAAAGTAAAAGCAGGGAACTAACTTGTGCGGCTATTACGTGTGCGAGTATTGCCACTGCCTTGTAGACCAAATCATCACCACAAGAGAGCTCGATGTACGTACAAATAAATTCAAAATTTCATTACGTAGCGATTTCTTGTTTAATTACTAATCAATTTCATACATTCATATAGTTTATTCGCATGAGGGATAACCTGACCACACACAAGGAATTTATCGCGGCGGTTCAAGAACAACTCATGGGATTCATCAACGAAGAAATCCTTGATCCCAAGGGTGAATTCTACTACGACGGAAACACAATTCACCGGTCCTTAGCTTCTGAGCTAGCAGCGAGTACTACTACGTCGAAATCGTAGCTAGCTAGGACATATAATGGATTGTAATTAATACATGACTACATATGTTTCTATATGCATATGTACACATTTTCTATAATGTAAATATATTTTGGTCATATATATATCTATATACATATGCATTTGCATAACATATATATGTATGCATATATATGTATTGAAACATATATATGCATGGTTTATATATATATATATATATATATATATATATATATATATATATAGAGAGAGAGAGAGAGAGAGAGAGAGATTCATTAGCATCTATATGAATGTGAACAATGCTAGAAAGTCTTACATTGTGAAACGGAGGGAGTAGCATGGATTTGTTTCGCGAGATGTGCTCGCTACCGCCAGAGAAACCCGTTTTTACTGGCGGGCGCTTAAGAGCTCCGCCTTAAAAAATAGAGTTGTTTTTTTTATCGCGGACCTCATAAGTGTCCCTCGGCGAAAATCGGTTTTCGCTGGCAGCTCATGACCCAAAATCCTCCCATATATTTTTACAAGCGTTTGTTTCATTAGTTCACTAGCAAAAGTAAAAGTGTGACACCATGAAAAATCGTTTTTTAGTAGTGTAAGATGAATAGAGCTATGGATTCTTATGGTAAAGTTAGTCCAATTGGATTTGTAAGACAAGTGACTAAGGGTTGTTTGGTTATCAGTTACACTTGCTTAAGCTGGAATGATCAAATTCTTAATCACACCTTAGTAGGTTGAAGAAAATCTTGTCACACTTTTTTCATTGATGCCCGGGTCCTAATATGTTGGGAAATAATCTTGCCACAATTATTGCTCCAATATGTCAGGGTTATGGATACCACATACCCAATAGTAATCGACTAAGCTCGGTAGGGCCCACTACATACCATGTCCTATACGGAAACAAACCTCGTATATAGAAGGAGTTTCGGATAAGGAAGGACGAGTAGAGTTCTATATGGAAACGACAAGGACTACTCGGATCGTATCCATATTTATCTCCCTAGTTCTACTTGGACAAGAGGGCATCTATGGGTATAAATACAATCCCCCCAGGAGGAGAGGGGACACACCCACCACAATCTATGACGCCGCAAAGCCACAAGCCGACACACGTCGCCAGATATCAACATCAGAGATAAGCCTAGACATACCCCATACGGTGCCTACGGAAGTCGGCAAGAGGGATCTAGCGCCATCTCTGATCTCGCCGAGTACGGATTCGAGGAGGAAGACTACCTTGTCGTCAACTACGAGTTGGTTATCTAGCCGCCAAGTCGACGCCAGCTAGATAGGTTATCCCAAATATTGTACTTGTGTGATCCAGATGAATAAAGAGCAACACCAGCTTCGGCAAACAGGATATAGGGCTATTACCTGTCAGATAAGGGGCCCGAACCTGTATAAAAATCGTTGTCTCCATCTCTTTTACCTCAATCTCACATATACCCTGGTACCAATGATCCCCATACTATCTAAATACCGTAGTCGCGATATTAAACGTCGACACAATAGAACAACCGTCAAGTTGATCAAACTTGCCTAACCTTACACACGACAAAACGTGGTCAAGTGTGACGATGTTGTGGTACAATCGGTGCCTTTTACTCTTCTTTGTAAGGCCGAGTTTAGATCCAAACGTTTTGTTCAAACTTCCAACTTTTCCATCACATCAAAACTTTCCTACACACAAACTTTCAACTTTTCCATCACATCAAAACTTTCCTACACACACAAACTTTTAACTTTTCCATCACATCGTTCAAATTTCAACAAAACTTCCAATTTTGGTGTGAACTAAACACACCCTAAGAGTAGATCCTAAAGTAGTATATGTGCATATAGATGTGTTCAGTGGTCAACTAATCAAAGCATACAACCATGCTACAGTTCAATATATACTCAGAATTCACCAACAAATAGCCATTGAAGGTCCTGTCTGAGGGGGACTTCTGATAACTATAACTTCTTATAGAATCTTCAGCTCCCCAAACAATTTAGATTTTTACTATGAGTATGAGATTTTGTAGTTTATGTAGTATCTAAAAAAATAAACTAGAAGACACAACTTTTTTAAATTCTCACACGCTGCTTCTCAAAATCTCAAGCTCCTCAATACATGGCTAAAGCGTTCACATGTCTTTATGTATGAAAAAATCCGAATTACCCCTAACCTACAATACTAGACATTTACCATCCTCAACCTTTTATGCTTAATAAATAATCACCTTGCAAAGGCTAAGGCCTTTCCTCTGTTATCTGTGTCGCTTGCCATGTAAAAGAAAAAAAACATAGGAGGGGGGGGGAGGATATCGGAGAAGTGGGCCCTACCGATTTTAGATTTGTTTTTGGCTAGTGTGTGTATGCCATGTATGACCAAAACTGCTGCGGATTGTGTTAGAGGGTAATTTGTCCGATTTGAAAGTTTGAGATGCGAAATGTCTAGTTTTTTGAATTGTGGGGGTAATTCAGACTGTTGCAAAAGTTTAGAGAGGTAATTCAGGCGTGTTCCTTTTACATATTCCTACTCATATCCTCGTATTGCTTTTCTCTACATCTTCATGTAAAAAAAGGTGATTTAGAGGGAGATACGTTCCTCTAAACATTTTTAAGAAGAAATTGTGAGTGTGTTGGAATTGAACATGAAACCTTAGGGATTGAAACCACACACACCTTGACACTGCACTATCATGTGCATCTCTTCACCGCATCTTCATATAAGGCCCCATCCTTTTCTTATTAAAAAATATATTTTACCTCAGTTTTCTTTAACATACTTTTTAACTGTTAAACGGTACATTCTGTAAGAAAATTTTTATATAAAAATGCTTTAAAATATCATATAAATCTATTTTAAAGTTTAGAATAATTAAAACTCAATTATAATCATCCTCTAATTTGAACTCAAATGGTGGCTAACTCGTTTAGACTTTCAATTTAATCAAACAAAGGGTCCCAAAAAAAAGTCTATGTTAATCGAGAAAGGGGATCCACTTCATAAAAACCGGAGTAAACATTATACCAGTGGCCCCAAACGAGAGAAAAAAAATGATTGAACTCGACGCTGTAACCAGCTGTATGTCCCTCCGGGCCGGTGGGGCCGACCGAGCAGTGCCCCCAAAGATACCGGGCCCACACAGCTGACCGGTGGGCCCCACAAGCCCATCCCCTCCCCTGACCAAACCCTAGGGTTAAATAGCGCGCGCCCACGTTTGCACGCGCCCCCCCCTTCCCGAAGACCTCGCGACGCCAAAAAAAGGGGGGAGACCGCCACCCACGCCAAGTCGCCACCCTCTCCACCTCCGAGCTTCTCGCGGCGGCCGCGCCCCAGCCCGAGACCCTCCCCTCTCTCTCTCGTCTCGAGCGAGCTAGGGTTTTGGTTCTCCGGGGCGCCCGCCCCCGCGCCTCGCCGGCGGGCACCGCGCCACACCCCCTCTCCTCCCCCCCACGGCGGCGGCGGCGGCGGCGGTGGAGGCGGCAATGGATCTGCAGAGCCTCGCCGTCGTGCTGCGCGCGGCGCTCAGCCACGTCCCCGAGGAGCGGAAGGCCGCCGAGGAGAGCCTCAACCAGGTGAGCCCCCTCCCGCCTCCTTCCCCCCGACCCCTCCCGAACCAGCGCGCTCGTCCCGAACTCGCCAATTCCCCTCACCCGTTCGACGGCGCCGCGGCGGCCGCGGTACTGTTTGATCGCCGGTGGCGGCGCGCTCCTAGCGATCTGGGATTGGTTCAGGGGCTGGTGATCCGGTCGAATCTGGCTCGTGGACTGTGATGAACTCGCTGTCCCTGTGTGAACGATGGGGGGTTTTTGGGAGTTTGCGGTGGGGGGTTCTGATTATTCTGATGGGTACAGGGTGTTTTGTTTGTGGCGTCATACTAGTACTCGTTTCAGGTCTTACTATGGTAACTGCGGCCATGGTAAACTTGGTACTGCCGTATACTGTTCGAGCGCGTTGGGTTGTTAGGGGCATTAAGTTCTGGGGTCGCCAACAGTAATTTGAGTTGCTTCTCTCCTTGCTCTGGGCGAGATTGGTTGGTAGCTTAATTTACTGTTCAAATCATAGTACAAACTAGCCGGTCAACATGTTCAAATGTGGGGGACTACATAGGCAACTGAAAAATGTTTGTGTCAGATGGAACGCTGGTATTCTTTTCTGTTCTTTCTGCAAAGCGAACACATGAATAAGCAGCATTTTTGGAAAATGCTGATCTTTTTGCTGTTTTGTAATCCTATATTTGGTGACACCATAATGTTCAATCAAGTGGACTATGCGTACCAGCAGAGTTGTGCAAGCTAGTCAGCCTAGAGTACACTAAACATGGAGTTTTATACTTTTATTCCGTTATCTATGCTAGTGGAGAATCCTTATTCGAAAGGAACTACGTACTTCTCTGACCTTTCTTAATGGTTTCTTGTGCCTTTCCATGTACTTCTATTTGTATTGTGGTAAATCTTTTCATTAGTAATGATTGTCTCTTTCCTGTTCAAAGCTAGCTAACATGCTTGCTGGAGACATCATGCTCATTTATTTAGTAATGAGTTGCACTATCGTTAGTTACTAATGTAAACTAGTTGTCCAGATAATACTTAATAAAACATGGTCCCTGAGAAGTCCTGTACTGGTACCATTTCTGGTTTGCTATGATGCTAATACTTGGTAATTTGTTTCATTTGAAGGCAGAGAAGGGATGTACAGCACTGTACCACCATCTAATATACTTGATTAACAGGATATTTTCTTTCTTTTAGCAAGAAACTGAGTATACAAGTAATATGACCAGGCACACTTTAGACAGTGGATTGCTTGTACGCTCCTCCCAAAGTGATCTGCACTAATTATTAAGCATGGCTTAGGTTGCTTGTATGCTCCTCCCACAATGATCTGCACTAATTACTAAGCATGACTTAGTGGTAGTTCAAATTCACTGAGCTTTGTGAAATTCGTGAGAGCAAGCACTCCTCAAACATCCAAGTCAGACAGTTGTTATATATTTTCCCATCGCAAACTGTACTATTTTGCCATTTTCTGTTGAGCACCTGTGTTAATAATTCTGTAATTTCTGCAGTTTCAATACGCACCACAACATCTGGTTAGGTTGTTACAGATTATTGTCGATGGGAGCTGTGATATGGCTGTACGACAGGTTGCAAGTATTCATTTCAAGAACTTTGTTGCAAAGAACTGGTCTCCAAATGATCCTGGTATGTAGACGTTGGTAGTTGACTGTTGACTTATTTATGACTTCTGATTACCTAAAGTATCGATTGTTTATTCTGTAGAGGAATCTCAAAAGATTTCAGAAAGTGACAAATTGATGGTCCGCGAGAATATACTGGGTTTTATTGTTCAAGTACCCCCTTTACTAAGGTAAACTGCTCTGTTCTAGCCAACAGTTTGTATGTTGCTAATGCTTGTGAAAGGCTTGACAATCTTAAGAGAGCTTTGACTTATTGTGATAACAACTTCGGCCTTCAGTATACCATTATTCTTGTTAATAATTAAATGTTCCTTTTGAGATTCTACATTGAATTCCTTAGTAGAAACCTAATTCATTAAAATTGCATGGTTCTGATAATTACCGTAGTAACTGCTGAGTTCCGCTCCATCTTACTCCCTCCATCCCAAAATATAACAACTTTTAGTCCTCAGGATTTGTCCCAAAATATAACAACTGCTCCACCAACATTCTCTTCCCAACCAATCACAACCCTCTACCATTCACTTTTCCCACCTACCTCCACTACTCATCCAATCACAGCCCTCCACCATTCACTTCTACCTACTTTCTTAATAACCGTGTCCAACTCTAAAACTTGTTATATTATGGGACGGAGGGAGTAGCATATATGATTTGTCCTAGGCTATATATTTGCAAACCGTTGCCATCACGGTTACAGTTTGCTAGAGGGTAGGGGATGTTACTTGGGCAGTAATAATACACCTTAATGAAAGGTGAAATGGTGAATAAAAAGGGAAGGTGAGTGAGGAGAATAGTGGCTGGCCCATCATCCCTCTGCACACTAGTTCCCCTCCTTTCCCTTCCTTTTCTTTCCACTAAAGACTCTTTCAACCCTAGTTGCTGGTGCTCTCTCTCATCGTCCTGTGGATGATAGTTTCCTCCTCTCTAGCACATGCAGAGTTGTTGGCTAGTGATGACAAGGTGCAAATGACGATGGTGGTGACTAAACAACCTCTCCTGTTATCTGCTTTTCCTAGTTCAGCAATTGGCCATTGTACCCTCCAGCCAACTGGGCATAAACGATGATTGTCATGGGTGTTAGAAACCAAATCACCATGTTTAACTGCTATCCGGGACAAATATGTTGTTCACTGTTGTGTCATGATTAATTGATTATACATGTAAGGTACAACCGGCATGGGTATTCATTTGTCACTGGTAATGTTTGACATAACACTTATGCACATTCCAATAGAATCTAAAGTACATGCCTGATTCAGCCTGTTTTGCTATTTAGTAGAAGGTCCATTTCAACTATTTTTGAAATATGATAAATGTAGTACCTTCATATATATCCCTCTTATTTCCCTTGAAATTGTATATTCTTGCGGTGAAAATATCATGCTGTCCTATTGATGGCAACACCTCCTTGACATGCTGAGAAATCTTTTCATTGGTTGTTTTACAGAGCACAGCTTGGTGAAAGTATCAAAACTATAATACATTCAGACTATCCTGAGCAGTGGCCAGTTCTCCTTCATTGGGTTACACACAATCTGGAATCAGAAAATCAAATTTTTGGAGCTTTATATGTGCTAAGGGTTCTTTCCAGGAAATATGAGTAAGTATTAATGTCTATTCAATTATGTTTCCTTCTATCTGTGTGTTTTAAAATCATTCTGCCAATTTTTGTTTGTATTTTGATTTGTTCTGCCTCTTTTACCTCCTATTATGTAATTAATGCTCTGATTTGGGTTTAAAACAATTCGTGCTTGTCTGCTTCATTCTTATTTGTATTATTCTTATTATGTTTGTTCAAATGACCCTCTCTTGCAAAATTGCTACATAATATTGTTGAATGTTGCCATTTACGTTTCAACATGGGGGCAATTCACCAGTTCTCTCTAGTTGCATTTATTCTGTGATGTCTTCATGCGGCATTATATCTGAATTTGGTATAGATAAGCTGTCACACTATAAACTATATCATTCAGAGTTAGTTCTTTGTTGACTATTCACCACTGTATTAGTACTGGTCCCTTTCCCTACTCTTGCTTACATTGCCTGTGTCAGCTATGGATTGTGTCTCAATAAGAATATCTCTGTTGCTATAGAGTGCATCATAATATATTAAAAATAATAAAAAGCTAATGAAATTTGATAGAGAAACAAGGAAAAATTTGAGAGCAACCCATCCACATGGTACTATCTGCTAAATATTGCTAAAGATATTAGTTCGTGTGTTCTACACATTTTTATATTTTTTTGAGTTTTTAAAACGTTTCACACACATGTTTAACTGTTTGATTGAACAGACTGGTAAAAAAAGCCTGATGTAATTGGGGGAAAAATCATGACTGTTGTAAATTCAAAGTTTCAGTTAAAGAATTGGTAAATGTTTGATGGCAGAAATGCAGAATCACATATCACCTTTTACACTTTCCTGGAAAACTTGAAGTATGTGTGCTGAGTATAATTCTCTTAGTTTGTTGCTGTTTAGGATTAAATGGTTGCTTCTTGTTATGTACGTAGTATGTGTGCTTCTTTGAATGATGTCTCTAATTTACTTTTATTTATTTTGAAGGTTCAAATCTGAGGAGGAGAGGATCCCTTTATATCACATTGTTGAGGAGACCTTTCCTCGCTTGCTAAGTATCTTTAGCAAACTTGTTCAGATTGTCAACCCTCCAATTGAAGTAGCTGACCTGATCAAGCTAATATGCAAAATATTCTGGTCTTCAATTTATGTACGTTAGCTTATTATAATTAAATGATCGTCATCACTTATCTGTAATTTGTACTCTTTTTTTACACTTACATTTTTCCTTTTTTGCTTTGCGTAGTTGGAGATTCCGAAGCAGCTCTTTGACCCAAATGTCTTCAATGCATGGATGAGTTTGTTTATAAACTTGTTGGAAAGACCAGTTCCAGTGGAAGGCCAACCATTGGATCCTGATGTGAGGAAATCTTGGGGCTGGTGGAAAGTTAAGAAATGGACAATTCATATATTGAATCGTCTATACACCCGGTCAGTGTTCATTGAAGCTCAGCCCTACCTTTGGTAATCATTTAATTTATTTACCTTTCAATGCACTGTGCAGATTTGGTGATATGAAACTACAGAAACCAGAGAGTAAAGCTTTTGCACAAATGTTTCAAAAGAACTATGCTGGAAGAATTTTGGGCTGCCACTTGCAGATTCTGAATGCAGTTCGAACTGGTGACTATTTGCCAGACAGGGTTATCAATCTTGTTCTTCAATACCTAACCAACAGGTTTGTTTTGGGAGGATAAAATGATCATTTTTCAGAAGCATTTTGTGTCCATAAATCGAACCTCTTGCTTCTTTTCTGTAGCTTTCTAATGTTGTTTCTGTTCTAAAACCACAGACCATCCTCTTTTATCATTTCATTGTGTTTTGCTAGATTTGGAGCTTCCTTGTTTGCCGCTACTAATCATCGAGTTGAAATGTTTATTTTGGTTGAAATTTGGCCTAACATGTATTGACCAAATAATCATATTTGGTAGGCAAGTCAGTGTCTTTGATCCATGGAAGATTACATGTCCAGATAAGCTTGTGGTGAAAGTATAAAAAGGAAATACCTGTGCTATGCATGTCAACCAAAAAACTATTTTTGACCATTTTTTATGGAAATATTTTTGAACAAATAAGAGCATTCGATGGACGTACAATTTTTCTGAACAAGGAAATGAAACACACTGTGCTGTGTTGATCTTTAAAGCTATGGATATGTTGAACTAGCCTTCAATTGCAGTTTTTCTGAGATGTCTTCTAGGCATGTTCTGTTGTAATTTTGCCTTTCTGATGATTCCTCTAATGCAGCTTTTGCTTCTATTATGTCTTTTTAGGCTACTTCAAAGCTTATTCTTTTTTCTCCCCCTATTCTGCTTTTGATCACAAGTTATTTTGTCTATATTAATTATGATTTTGTTCGAAGATAAGTAATTATTACATTGATTGTATATTGCAGTGTTACAAAGAACAGTATGTATCAGTTGATGCAGCCTCAAATCGACATCATTCTGTTCGAGATAATTTTTCCGCTCATGTGTTTCAATGACAATGATCAAAAGTTATGGGATGAAGATCCTCATGAATATGTTCGGAAGGGATATGGTGAATTTCAGGACCCTGTCTTGCTGTCAATTAGAGTAGGCTATCACTCAGAGTGACTTAGGGATCCTTTGAAACTCTAGTATCCCAAGCAAGGCCTAGTATCACACGTTTCCTGTGTCTCAGTTCATTACTGTAGGTTTTTTGCTCATGCATTGACTTCTTTTGTAGATATCATTGAAGATTTGTACAGTCCTCGAACAGCTGCTATGGATTTTGTGAGTGAATTGGTAAGAAAACGAGGAAAAAGCAATCTCCAAAAGTTTATCCATTTCATTGTGGATATTTTTAGGAGGTAAGATTTACTTGCCACTTGTTGTCTTCAATAATTACACACTTTCTACTCAGTGAAGTGCTTCAACATATCTGAAGGCACATGGGGGTGACTTCGATTAATGAATGTTTTACAGATATGATGAGGCATCTATTGAAATCAAGCCATATCGCCAAAAAGATGGAGCACTTCTTGCTATTGGGACATTATGTGATAAGCTGAAGCAAACAGATCCATATAAAGCTGAGTTGGAGCGTATGCTGGTCCAGCATGTCTTCCCTGAGTTTAATAGTCATGTTGGACACCTGCGTGCCAAGGTAGAGTCAATTGAAAGTTATAATTTTACTTGCTTCTTAGCTGCTTTTGACACATTCGTGTATCATGTGCAAATCATATTACAGACTTCTGTTTCTGTTTTGCTTATTGTGGAAAAAAGTATAAACCACTTATTTTACAATGATGGTGGTCTAGTTAATTACACCCAATTCACATCTAATCAATATATATGCCACTGAAGATCTCAAGCATTACATGCACTGGGTAGTGAATAACATAGGATGTTCAGTACGTGGCTCTGATGCCGCAATGACATGTGAGCAATGCTCCTAGGCTTGGTGTGAGCCTCACAATTTGAGGCATATATTAAGAATTGTGGCTATTCGGTGGCATAGTTCAGAGTTGGAAAATACCATTGCAAATATCTCAAAGTTGGGAAATGTAATTGCATGTGTCATTGTATCTGTTATTTAAAGCTGAGAAGATTTGTGCTTCCATTGAACTATCAAATACTACTAGTGGTGACAAATACATGCTGTTTTGGATATTGACAGTCTAAAAATTGCAACTTTGAGGGCTCTGCTGTAATATATTTGAAACCTGATAAATTATATTCTCCTGAAAGTACCTTTTGAGAATCCACGCACATGACTTACATGTATCCTGTCTAAAAAGGGAGGGAGTGGTGGTGGTGAATGGTGAATCTGCCACCACCGCACCACCAACTCCCAAAACTGACACGTGGGACCACTGTCCATCCCTTCTCCAAACCAAATGCATGGTAGAACAGTGAAAGTCACAGATAGACCCTGGAGCTCTCAACCATGATCATACTTGAAAGTTAATAATAAATGGAGTGAAAACTTGGCAAGCAAAAACCTCGAATTAATTCTAAAATTAAGCTCTAAAATTCAAGATAAATTTCCTCTCTGCATTGTGCCGATGTGATTTTGAAATCGGTAACAACATACAGGCCATTTTGCTAGTTTATTGATACTCAATAATTCAAAATTTTAGCTGGACATGTCTAAAACGACATGCATATCTAACACAGCATTAGACAATTATTCTCTATCAGGTCTTCTGTTTGTGCTATACGATGCTAACTTGTGATCAATTTTGTTCTTTATGGCATCAATCTGACCTATTCTATCTAATAGGCTGCATGGGTTGCTGGACAGTATGCACATATCAGTTTTTCAGACCAGGACAATTTTCGGAAAGCTATGCATTGTATAGTTTCTGGAATGCGTGATCCAGATCTCCCTGTTCGGGTTGATTCAGTGTTTGCACTTCGTTCTTTTGTTGAAGCATGCAAAGGCAAGTTTTGCTTTGTGCATGCCTTAAATTTTCATACTAAATTTTGGACTGCTAAAAAAATATTTGACTATACCTCTGCCTGTGCAGATCTCAACGAGATACGACCTATACTCCCTCAACTCCTTGATGGTATGATAATTAAATTTACTTCTGTTAACCTTGTACTTTTGACAGTAGATTAATTTGTGGCTGATCATGTATTGTCCAGAATTTTTTAAACTGATGAATGAAGTTGAGAATGAGGATCTTGTTTTCACTCTTGAAACCATCGTTGATAAATTTGGTGAAGAGATGGCACCATATGCACTGGGGTTGTGCCAGAATTTGGTGCGTTCTTCTCTCTGTACATTTAAACCCTTCTGTTTTGTGTTGCTTTAGTAACACATTTTTTGTATCCCTTTGGTAGGCTGCTGCCTTCTGGAGATGCATGGCTAGTCAAGAAGCTGATGATGAAGCTGATGATTCTGGTGCTTTGGCAGCTGTTGGTTGTTTACGAGCCATAAGCACAATCCTTGAGTCTGTTAGCAGTCTCCCACACCTTTTTATTCAAATTGAGCCAACTCTGTTGCCAATAATGCGCAGGATGTTGACTTCTGATGGTCAAGGTATTGAGCTGTTTGTGGATAGTATTTCATATACATATACTGGTAGTGTTGTAGCGTTTAGTGTATCCTTTCCAATCACCATGATGTTGCAAACTATTGGTGTCATATGCTGCTCATAAAGAAGCAACATTCCTAACTTTCTTCAGTCAGAAGAGTTCATGCATGGCATGTTCATGTGTATCAACAGCACCCACGTGGTTACTATTGACTCTGGGTATTTTCTAGATAAGATTAGGTTGAACTGTTAGCTATTTTCTTAATGCAAGGGTGGTGCTTTATCTGGTTTCATTGAACATAGTCTTTAGTCCCCCCCTCCCCCCCTTCTCTGTCCTTGTGCAGCTCCATCCGTGGCTCTGTTGTGCCACTTGGGCCCAGGGAAATTCCACAGGTCTAAGGGGATTGTCCCAACCATGCAGATTCTTTAACTGTTGGAATGGCAATAGTATGTGTTGTATTACAAAGTTATGTTCGACATGTCTTCTCTGGTGATGTATTAATTGATGATTTACAACATTAATTCTGCTGATTGTGAGAACAGCACAAACAATTTTATTGGACAGGGATGTTTCCAATTAAATATTTGTCCATTTCAAAACTAGAAAAGTTATAATAAGCACGTAAGTAATGTTAATTGTTTATGATCTAATATAATGTGGCAGCAGAATTACAAGGTATTGGATTCTTATGCTAAGTTTGTTTAGTACTAACTACTTATGATTTATTTTGTTGTTTTTTGTTCATACACTTATGCTTCTAAAATATACTGCAGATGTTTATGAGGAAGTTCTAGAAATTGTCTCATATATGACTTTTTTCTCACCATCAATTTCGTTGGACATGTGGAGCCTGTGGCCGTTGATGATGGAGGCTCTAAATGATTGGGCAATAGACTTCTTTGAGAGTATGACATTTTAATTTCTTTATCCATTTTTCAGATACATGTATTTTCTGCCTTTCATCTTTGTCGTCTTATTCTCTTTGTTTTTCACCTAAATGGTGATATTTTTAAAATAGCCTTTACAGATTCCTCATGCTTATCACATGGAATACATGCATTCATCAATATTTGCTTAAGTCCTATTGTTGTTCTGTTCCTTTTAGATTTAAATAATGTTTTTTCTACTCCCTCTGTTTCATTCTTTATCATGATGTTTTTAGTGCCATTCTCCAAAATTGTTGTGCATGACTCCAGGTTTCAATGGTCCCCAAATTTTGGTGCCATTTAGATGTTGAATAATGTCTTCACGTTTAGATGCTGAATCTGTCTATTCATAATCTTAGTGTATTGGCTAAAAAGATGCTACTTGACATAAAAAAATGTATTCGCAATAGGCCAATGCTGTTTCATTGAAATCTAGGCATGTGCCAACGCTTATCATGTTCAAGTCTCAGAAATACAAAGATTTTGCAGTATCTGGTCAACTAATCTAAATATATTGACATATGAATACAAAGGTTTTGCAGTAGCTTGCTCCAGAATAGGTTTTGCTTTTTTCATCTCCTGGGAATATTCCTGCTGCACTAATATAATCTAGTAGTTTGTGTGCCTTGTGCAGCTGATAATTTGCTCTACTTGGGCTGTCGTCTTGAATGAATTTCTCCATTTATCTGAGTGGAAGATGTCCATCTATCTTCCATTTTTGCAAATTGTTTGAGGCCCTGTTATTAGCAAATGCTACCTTGAGAAAAGTGCATTTTGCATTTAAATTTAATAGACTTTTGCAGCTTTGTCTTAGCTTTTTTTTTGTTGTCTTCCCCACAGATATTCTTGTTCCATTGGACAACTATGTTTCCCGGGGATCGGACCATTTTCTTGCCTGCAAAAACCCAGATTATCAGCAAAGCTTGTGGAGTGCACTATCATCTGTGAGTGTGTTTTGGGTTAATTGCCATATTTTTTTTGTTAGATTTCACAATATAACAGTGTACTAGCAATCTAGCATATGTTGATAATTTTCAAATTTGTAGATTATGATGGATCAAAACATGGAAGATTCAGATATTGAGCCTGCTCCCAAGCTCATTGAGGTGGTTTTTCAAAACTGCAAAGGCAATGTGGATCAATGGGTTGAGCCTTACCTCAGTCTTACAATTGATCGATTGCGTCGAGCACACAAACCATATTTGAAATGTCTCCTTGTTCAAGTGGTAAGATCCCTTTGTTTTCAAATCTTGCTAATCAAATGATGTTTTGTTAGTGTTGCCTGAGATCACTTTCTTAGAATCATTGTTTCAAGCTTATACGATGAACTGGTACGTGCGGTTGCCCTGGTAACTAGTAAATGGCGGTATCTTTTTTGTGAACTTGTTGAACTGTACTTTTTTTAATGTATTCCACAATACAAAATGGGAAGCACTGAGACATGCTTGGCTTGGTTTTCGCCCATTCTTTCTGTTACATGTAGAACAAGTGGATACCAATAAGTACATATTTTAAATATAGGAAAATGGGAATGAATTTAATCTATATGAAGTTGGTTGGAGCTTTCCTTTGGGATGTGCAGGAGCAGGAAGCATATGCGATTTTAAAAATGTAGGAAAAGTGAGAATTAAATTGAAATCAGGGAAATCAATGAGTATATGCATTTGAACCTTTTTTTTGTCATCATATCTAGTCATTTTCAGGCATTCAGTATCCATCTGGTTTGGAGGCTCTACTGTCATCTTTCCACATGCAAAAGTGGCTAGCGCCATGGACTACACAATGTGGCATCAATCTAGAGTTGAGATTAGTGATGGTAGTGTTGTGCTATGTGGTGGCGACTGATATGGGGATGAGCTTGAGCTCAGGGAGGCAGATGGGTTGATCTTTGGTTCTACAATGAGAATATATACATAAATGGGACTTTTAAACACTTGATAACCTGATCTACAAGGAAATTAACCTAATACCTGAATTACATATTTTCTCTTTCTCTGGTTGCTATTAGTTACTGTAATGCCGGTCTTGGATGAGCTGGTCAGCATAATTGACATGAACAATGGTTGGGAGCAGAGAACACAAAACACTGCTTGTATACAGATAGCACATAATGATGGTCTTATGTAGCAGACCCCTTCTTTCTGAAAATAATTTTTGTATAAACGAGCTGTCCAATATATTGCTGATCAGCAACAGCCTTATGGTTAATATTTCATGTTACAGTTATTTATATCCTTCCATCGTATGGAAAAATCATCTCTTGGGTTTATTTGTCTTTGGCAAGAGACATTGATAGCCTACTATTTTTGTTTGGTTTTATATATGGTTCAACTACCATTTTATAAACTATATGTGCTATCTATGCTCTACGCATGTTACTAAGCGCCTTTATATGCTGCTTGTAGATTGCTAATGCGTTCTACTACAACCCTTCTTTGACACTTGCAACCCTACATAAACTTGGGGCTGTGACTGAAATTTTTAACATTTGGTTTGGTATGTTAGAACAAGTCAAAAAGAGTGGTGTACGAGCCAATTTTAAGAGGTACTTTTTAGTAGTTTTGTCAGTACTTATATCTACCTCATGTTTTCTACAGTGAACTGAAATCGTTTTACTATTTTGTTTACAGAGAGCATGATAAGAAAGTTTGTTGCTTGGGGTTGACCTCACTTATTAGCCTTCCAGCAGATCATATTCCAGGAGAAGCCCTGAATCGTATTTTCAAAGCAACACTTGATCTGCTTGTTGCCTACAAAGAGCAAGTGGCAGGTGGAATATGAATATTTTTACGATTCTTCTAGTAAATTGGAGTTTACTTTTCTGCATGATATATTTGTTTAAGTTTATGAAGCTGAGTAAGATTTTCTTGATATATTTATCTATGCTTTTCTCTTTGATGAACAGAATCTAAGAAACAAGATGATGCTGATGGTGATGATATGGATGGTTTTGATGCTGATGAAGATGAAGATGATGATGAGGTTGAATCTGATAAGGAGATGGGACTTGATGAAGAAGATGCTGATGAAGTAAACAGTCTTCATCTTCAGAAATTAGCTGCTGAGGTTAGTGTTGCATTCTGAGTACTAAAATTGCATTATTGGCCTCAATATTTTTCCTTCCTTTTTTGTACTAGTAAGAATAACTGTCTACACAAGGTACTGGTCGGTTTGCATGAATATTTCTTCCGTGTTCAAATTCATGCTAATGTAACAAATGCAGTGGCATGTACTAGTAAAATTTGTATTGATATTCATCTTCTGTTTTTATTTAAAAAATAATAATCATTTTTATGGTACAGGCCAGAGGCTTCCAGCCAGCTGATGAGTATGATGACTCTGATGACGATTTCAGTGATGATGAGGAGCTGCAATCACCAATAGATGAGGTTGACCCGTTCATTTTGTTTGTTGAAACTGTCCAAGGTAAAGTGAATCCTTGTTATTAGAAGTTTGGAGCATACATGATATATGTGAAGTTTCTCACGAGTGCCCACTGTTTTTGACAGGCTTGCAAGCATCTGATCCTATCAGGTTCCAGAGCCTCATGCAAACTCTTGATTTTCGTTATCAGGCCCTTGCTAGTGGCATAGCTCAACATGCTGAGGAAAGAAGAGTTGAGATTGAGAAAGAGAAGTTGGAGAAAGCAAATGCACAATGATTAGTCATAAAGTTCTTTGATATTATTGCCATTTCACCGGGTTGTGGAAGTGGTGGGCCATCTTGTGATTTGGCGCGACCACAGGCAATCAATTTTGGAGCCTTAGTCTGCCATTTAGGCAGGAAAATTTTAGGCTCGCAAAATTTTATACTTGCGAGAGTTGAAACCGGTGATAGAGCCTTCTTGGATAGTCTCTTCACCGGAAGTCATTTTCCTAGTGGCCCATCGGTCGGTGGCTTGGATTGTGCAAGCGTGACACTGGGAAGTTTCTCCAATTTGAGGGCACTAGCTTGTCATGCTGTTTGGGCCACTAATATATTTTTTTTGCTGGGGGCTTAGCATTTGTTGGAGAGCCCCCCACTGGTGGCGGGGTGCATCTCCGTATCACAGTTTGTAGGGCAGTTTACATTTAGACTGTAGAATGTATATGGTTTTGTTCTTGTCTAGATCTTACCGTGAGTTTCCATTGGTGGGCTGGGATATACGGTTACGTTTTGTTTTTGGCAAGATGTATCTTGGTTCTCTTTTTTTTTGTGGAAATTTATTTTAGAAGGCAAGCAATTTCCTGGTATTTTTTTGCTGCATGATTACCATGTTCATGCGTGTGGTTTAACCTCTCAGAAGTAGTCACGAATCACAGGGAAGCTGAAGCATTTGATGTGAAAATAATCTTGCTGAATTATCTTGTTTCTATTCGTCGGAACGAAGCATCAGTCAAAGCCTTGCAAGCAGCACGCAGCAGAATTCTTCTGGTTCTTGCGATTGTGCGATCAGGGAAAGGTGTCGTTTGCCTGTCACTGTAGAAAGTCTAGTTTTAGCTTTAGGCTTTAGCAGCTTTCTCCCATCCACGCCCTTTCATTTCCTAGCGAGTACCATAGCATTGGCCGAGGAGTCTAGAGTGTCATTATTTGGCAACTAATTTCGGTTGATATGACTTTGATATGTGAAACAGCTTGCTTGGACGTTACTTAAGTGCAGTAAATGTATTTGGCTAGAAATCAATATGTGAGCCTGTATCTGTATGTAGACTAAAAGGCGCATCTATAATTAGAACAATGTAGTGTTGGCGTGACACAAAGAAACAAACCCTAGCCAGGCCGGCAATAATTCGGGCCTGGTTGGTCAAGGGCTAGGGGTGAAAACGGTAACGGTAATTACCGGCCGACCGGCATTCGTTTTCGACTTTCTACCGGTCGAGCCATATGGAAATGGTAATCGACCGAAACAAAAATGGAAATGATAAAAAATATGGAAATGAAAACGGAAATGGTTTTGCTGTTATACCGATCGTTTCCGTATTTACCGTATTCTCGTGGAAATTACCGTTTCTTATAATATGGTAATTACCTTATTCTAAATATGTCGATATTATAGGACCTGTCTATACTTGACCCACAGCTTATAGATTGAATGACTCTTCAATAAAATCTCTAACTTTTGTACATGGCTAAAATGAAGTTAATTTATAATTTATATAGTATAAACTTGAATTTATGTATATATATATATATAACATACTTATGTAAAGTTAAATATATGTTTTTATAGTTTAATGTTTCCGTATTTGTTACCGGTTTCCGATCTGTACCGACATGTTTCCGTCTGTATTGTTCCGTTTCTGATTTTCCGATATTTCCGATATCGTTTTCGTTTCCGACTTTACCGTTTCCGATTTCGTTTCCGAGAAAAATATGGTTACGGAAATGGTTGAGGCTGTTTTCCGATCGTCTCCGACCGTTTTCATCCCTAGTCAAGGCAGCTGCAAATAAAAGGTAAAAGCAAAGTTGCCAATTCAGCTGCTGCCCCATCATCGGTGGGTGTACCGCGCGTGATCATATATTCATACACGCAGCTTTACCACAACAGTTTCCCCCATGCAATTTGCATGAGTGATCGAGCATGCCTAGTCAGTCTATCTACTGCTACTACTAGTACAGTACACTTCCATGTGGCGCTGTTGGGAGGCAGACAGCGAGAGAGACGGGATGCGAGCTCAGACCTAACAATGGCGGATGGAACGCATGAATGAGTTGTGATGGATTGGATTGAGCTGACGGAGCTGCACAGCAGCCGGCCTATCCCTCCCTCTACTTCTTCATCCCCACATGCGTCGCTGTGCCGTGTATTATGCTTCTGGGCACGTTCTCGGCAGATTATTAGAGCAGATTCAACAGTACACGGTAAAATTAGCCATGTCATCTAAAGCTTCGGTTAAAAATACTTCATATAATACAAGGATGCGGTATATGATCTGTTTATTTGTCAGTAGTTTAAGCAGACCAATTACTATTGTTTCTTTGCATATCTCACTGTCCTATCACAATTCACATGCAAGTGTAGACCAATAGCAGTTGCTTGCCTTGTCTCGATGCTCACGTACAACCGGCGGTAATATAATCGCCCGTTCACATTCTCTTTCCTTCTCTCCTTCTGCCAACTCATTTCTTTTGCTAGCCTGGGCATTCTACCGTCAGTTTAAAACTTCTATTGTATCCTCTCATACTGTATAAGATGTGTTTGGTCTGACGGTAAGATTGAATGGGTTGGGGGGCGATCCATGGTCTCCTCATCTCGTACGTGGATGTAGGGATCCATATGCTAAGTGGGTGGATAGGTGGATAGAATAAGTCAAATTCTTTTATTTGTTTTGAGTGAATGAGATGAGGCAACCTTTTATTAATTAATAAAAATATATATTAATAATCATTAATTGTGCTGTAATCAATACTAACAACAAAGTATAATAATTAATTACTAACCAATGACATGGCAATTACTAATTAACAACATAACACACTAATTATCACTAACCGGTAACTAATGATCAAGGTAAGAATAAGTAAAACGTGGATCGCCTCATCCCGCTAAATTTGTCGAATGAGGTCATCCATCAAAGTGAATATTATGTTCAGCGGTCATCCCTTCGCCCCTCGCCCATAAACCAAATACATGCAAAAGCAAGATGACCATCTATCATCCATATTCATCCCTCCAACTAAACAAACCCTAGCTAATCTACTTCTCCGTACCAAAATAAGTTGGATTTCTAGCTTTTTACCTACTCCTAGTTCACCAATTCAGAAGTTCTATCCCTTTAATACCTTCTTACCTTCTCCATTAGTCATCAGAGGAGAGATCTGCTAATTGACATTTTTGTTATGTGGATTTATTGGTACAGAGGATGTGCTCTCATAATATACTCATACAAGATATGTTAAGGCATGATTTGGAGAGGAAATCATGAAAAAAAATTGGTGAGAAGATTAGAAATAACTTTGCCCTTCATCATGATAAACATGATACATGTTTACAACTATAGCCAACGAGAAGTGATATATGCTAACAAGTAATAATAATCTATAACATGTTAAGTTTTACTCTAGCGTAAGAAGAACACCTGGACATCCATAAAGAAGTAATTAAAAAGTTTCAAAATCTATGGATGTCCAGGTGTTCTTCTTTATGGAACATGAATGCCTAAAAGAAGAGGAGAGAAAAAAATTAAACGTGCATGTGCATTTATATGTTCATGGACTCCTTATTAAAAATATGAGGATAGCTCTCCATATGAAAACAAAGTAAATCTGTATAATAGCACGCTGGTACAAATAGAGAAATGCGCTTATGTTTCGAAATATCAGGCCAAATATACTGATGGACGAGGTCCTTCGAAGAAGATGTTATCCTAGATAGTTGTAGGATGAAGATTCCCTCAAACAAGTTATTTTAGCATGGTTACAAATAATTAAATTTTCGTGCTTTTTCTATATGTAATTTTTAAATTCTTTACAAATAGTTATAAAATTAGCTATTGCATCAATGCTTGGCAGCATTTTCCATTAGTCAATACCGACTCAGAGATATAGATAATAAAATAAAACGAACAGCCAAATACTCCATCCGTCTCAAAATGTAGCTATTTCTAGCACAATGTCTTGTCCAAAATGAAGCTATTTCTTCACCTACCTCCTCCTCTCAACCAATCACAACCATTCTTCTTCACCTACTTTCTCTTTTCAACCAATCATACACTTCCTCCAATCATTCTCACCTACTTTTTTAATACCCATGCCAACCTTAAAAATACCAACCTTAAAAATGACATGAAAAATTACAACCGCACTAACCGGCACAATAGTACTATACTCCTATATAACTGCCGTCGTCCTTTGGTGAGAACCTGTCACCTACTCGTACAGTACACATATATACAGGTCAGCTAGCTATCTGCCCCCCACATGTACAGTACAGAACACTGCCACTGCTGCACTCTGCATCTGTATGCAAGCAGTATCGATCGGCATCCTATCGGCTACAGGTTGGTTGATGTGTCGTGTGCAGATTTCCACGCACGAGGTGCCCCATTGGTGACACTGCCAAGTTGCCATATCCATCCATTCGTAGCTAGTGTGAGTGGCCTACTACACATATATAATTGCTCTACACGTGTTGCTCCCTTATATGTGGGATGCATGAACATGCATTAGAGCAAGTTTAATAGTATAGCCCACTACTAGTTCCAATTTATCTATAGCCAATCTAATAGTCCATTCATACAATAGTTGCTTAGTATACTATTAATATATGGTCCCACCTGTCATACACACATTGCGTCTCGGAGTCCGCGCTGCAGCTGGCTACAGATTTGTAGCCCACTGCCTTTCTCTCTCATCTTTTATCTCATTAAAATATATTTACAGCTACAGCTGGCTAATAGCCTGCTATTGTACCTAATCTTACAACACTGTTTAATTCACTCATCACTTTACTGACTAGGGTTAAACCTATCAGATTGAGAAACTTTCTGAAGATCATTTTCTTAATTAAGGGTCAATTCGCTTGGTACACTTGTAGGAATCACGGAGAAAAAAAAAACCACCACACGTATCATTAAGGGCACCCGCAATGGTTATCTATAGACTCTCTACAAGAGATCCATGTCAGTATATTTTTCTACTTGAAAGAGATTAAATGAAGAGAGAGAGCAAAGCTATCTACTAACTTAGAGATAGTCTATAGAGAAAAACGAGGCAATGCATTAGAGAGCTATAGATATCCATATAGACATACTATTGAGATGATTTACTATTAATCTAGTCTATTGCTAAGATGTACATATTTTATAGAGAACACCTTACTTTACCATTACGGGTGCTCTAACACATCTGGATACAAGTGTCAACTCTCAGGTGTCATTCTCACGCATACTCCCTTCGTCCAGGATTATAAGGGAGTATTCCCTTTATTGCAGTAATTAAGGAAGAATAAAAGATGCATCTAAGACCATTCACAATGTACACATGTGGCATTTAACCGCAACCTTCCACATCAAAGATTCCATACCACATGTGCTTCACCCGTGACCAAGTGAAGAACGGGGAGCCAAAATAGGACACGGGTTCCTCGTCAAAAATTCGTTAGAGTGGAGAGAGGAACGAGCGTTGCATGGGAGAGGAACAGGGGGAAGCAGGAAGAGAGGAGCGGCGCCGTCATGGGACT